TTAGAGACTGTGGTCTATTAAAAGCCAAATAATTAACTAACAACTAAAAATAATCGTGATATCAAGACATTAAAGCATTGTTGAGAAACTGCTCTTTAATTTGACACTAACTTTATAATTGTAAGATACATAGAAAGAAAGTTATAAGCCGTCGGAAAAGCATCAAAACGTCATGCTCGGTGGGGTTGAACCTTAATCACCGGTAGCTGCGTTACTCACACTTCCCAGTTCCGAACGAAAATCCCCGATAGCAATTGTAGCTCGCGCTCGGGCCCAGTCCCCGAACCTCCTCGTCTTCTTTTCCACTCCGCTGAAGGGTTTCTACATCCACCCCCCCAAAAGGGAACAAAGTTCATTTTTAACTTCTTTCTAGCCCGTACACAAGTTGTATTGGTCGTTTTACAACCGCACCAGCGGGAAGTCGGATCTCGCAGACTCGTACTCTTCCGTCTCTTCCGGAAAACAATGTTTTCACAACTCCCATCTTCCAGAGCTGGCGTGGTTGCTGGCTTTCGTGAAGAATAACCAGGTCCCCAACTTTGAGATGTCGGTTTGACCTCCTTGTCTTGTACAATGATCGGAGTTCTGTTAGGTACTCCTTTGACCATCGTTGCCAGAACTCTTTCAGGAAGTCTTCTCAGAGTTTCCAGCGCCTTCGCAGCGATTCTGCGTCTCCGTTTTGCAAGTCGGAGTCGGACGGTTTTGGTAACGACGTAAGTCTTTTCCCTGTCGTGAAGTGCGACGGTGATAGTGGCTGAGGCTCTTGCACTTCACTGTACGCGTAGGTCAATGGTCGAGAATTGATGATTGCTTCCACCTCAGTGAGGAGAGTCACTAACTCTTCTTCTGTCAGGACTCTTCGTCCGATGGCTTTCTTCAAAGAGTTCTTGACTGACCTGATCAAATGCTCATAAAATCCGCCCCACCACGGACACGTTCTGCAATGAACTTCCATCGTATCCTGCTGTTTGCGAAGTAATTCCGCACTTCTTCATCTCGTAGAACATTCCAAAGCTCGCTTAAGTCTTTCTTGCTTCTCTTAAATGCCAACGCATTATCAGAGTAGATCACCCTTGGCACGCCTCTTCTTGATACAAATCGTCGGAGCGCACGCAGGAATGTTTCTGCCGTCATGTCCGGTACCATTTCCAAGTGTACTGCCCTAGTAACTGCACACGTGAACAACGTGAGATATGCCTTCCTCTTTGTTTTCCTCGCTGTGACCCATACGGGTCCCGCAAAGTCAACACCCACGACCTCAAAGGCTTCCGCTTCTGTGACACGATCTGCGGGCAAGGGCGCCGTCACTTCTGACATTGGTCTGGCGTTCAGCCGTTGACATGCGATGCATTTATTGATTTCTTTTTTTATTATTTGACGAGCTCTCACGATCCAGTATCGCTCCCGCAATTGCACGAGTGTGTCACGCACTCCCGCGTGTAATAGTCTACGATGTGCTTCAGTTATCAACAACTTCGAAAAGTGGTCGTCTTTTGGCAGCACAACGGGATGCCATTCTTCAAAGGATTTTTCGGAGAACTGTAGTCTTCCTTCTACCCGAAGTATTTCATCGTTATCCAAAAAAAGAGAAATGTCTCTGATAAGCGAATCTGGCAGTAGTTTTTTGCCGTCTTGAAGATTCTTTATCTCCTGTTCGAAGGCTCTACGTTGTACATTCTTTATTATATATCTTTCGGCTCTGTTCAATTCTTCCGCGGTTAATGGTCCAGTTTGAGCGCTAATTCTTTTAGACTTCATTATAAAGCGGAGTACCCACGCCATCGTTCACCGAAGTCGCACAGCTGTGCTAAACCGCTCAATTTCTGGAACCATCGTTTGGTCTGCTGTTGCCGTGGGTATAACGCTGCAATCTTTTTCTTCTCTGTTTCTTCTATATTGAATTCTTGCGGTTCGGACTTCTCTGGCCACCGCTCTCGTACTGTCAACCAGCTAGGTCCTTTCCACCATACTTCACTGTCGAGCAGCTCCCTGGCTGTGATTCCTCTGGTCACCAGGTCAGCTGGGTTCTCTTTGTCTGGGCAGTGTTTCCAAGAGCAAGGATCAGAGTTTCGCTGGATTTCAACGACTCTATTTCTTACGAACTGTTTCCAGTCGTTTGTTTCTCCGAGGATCCAATGAAGAGCTATCTTCGCATCGGTCCACAAGTGCACTTCGTGGATGTTCTTCTGCAGCTTGGTCTTAATGTAGACACTCAGTCTGGCTGCCAAACGACATGCCAAAAGTTCTAGCCTCGCTACAGAAAGTTCTTTTAGAGGTGCCACTCGAGACTTGCAAAGCAGGATCGTGGATGTCGTGGAGCCGGAATCATTCGTCATAGTTACGTATGCTACGGCTCCATACGCCTGAGGACTTGCATCGGCAAAGATGTGCAGGTTTGTCCTGATCGTCACTCCCTCTATTCCCCGTCTGTAGAAACGTGGCACCATGACGTCACATAGCAATGGAAGATCCGCACACCATCGGTGCCATTCACTGCGCAGGTCAAGAGGCAGTAAGTCGTCCCACTCCATCTTCTGTTTCCAGATTTGTTGAAATAGGATCTTTGCTCGCACGACAAATGGCGCGATGAATCCTAGGGGATCGTAGAGTCTGGCTGTAGTCTGTAGGACAAACCTTTTTGTGTCTGAGTGCTTCTCTACGAAGTTCAGAACATCCTCTGGTGCAAATGTTGAGGTCTGTGGCAGGGTTCCACGTTAGTCCCAGCACCTTGAAAACTCCCGCAACCTGCCCCAATGGGTGTTCCTCGTGGTGATTCGAGTCGACCTGATTTAAAAGCGTTTTCGAGTTAGACACCAACTTGTGCAGCTTCATTGACGCTTGCTCGAAAATTGCTGTCGATTCCTTGAAGATCTTAGTGGCTTCTTCTTCGCTGGATGCACCGGTAAGAATGTCATCCACGTAAATGGAATCTTGCAGCAGCACCGCGGTGTCTGGATACTCGTCCTTCATTGTTTCCAGGTGATGTTTTATTGTCGCAGACAATAAAATTGGGCTCGATGTAGTTCCAAAAGGAACTCTCGTCATCCTCCAGATGAGAATTGGAGGAAGTGGTCTTCCGACCTGTGGGGTACTTTTATACCACAGGAAGCGTAACGCATCGCGATCATCTTCTTGTATACTTATCTGAAGAAACGCCTTCTCGATGTCGGCCACTAGCGCGATACAATGTCTTCTGAAGCTCAGAAGCAACGCGACAATATCCGGGTTCAGATTGGGGCCACTTTCCAAACAGTCGTTCAACGACTTCGAGCTTTTGCTATGGGAAGAAGCGTCAAATACCACTCGCAATTTAGTGGTGGTGCTCCTTTCGCGACAAACTGATTGGTGTGGCATGTAGAACTTCCGAGATCCAGTCTGCTCATCTGACACTTCTTCTGCCATTCCGCCTTCGGTGTACTTCCGGATCGCGACGTCATAGTCCCTCATCAACTTAGGGTTCTGAGTTAACTTCCTTGTTAGCTGCTGAAGCCTCCTCTCCGCAACTTGTTTGTTATCGTCTAAGTTCACTACGGGTTTCCACGGGAGGGCCACCTCGTACCGAAGACCGATCTTCTTAACTGTTTCTTTGTAAGACGCGATCACGGGTTCTGTCTCTGGATCAGGTTCGTCGGTTATACCAATCGATTCAAGGTTCCAAAACCTTTGCATTATTTCAGGTGCATCCATGTTGTTTGTCGTTGCGTTGAGAACGAACATCTGTGAGCTCTTGATGACAGATGCTGAAAGTTCTGTTGTACCGTGTACGGTCCAGCCAAGCGACGTCTCCATTGCTCGAAGTTTTCCGTCGAGTCTCCTAACTTGGCCAGTGACGAAGTTCCAATAGCAATCGCCTCCAATCAGTATGTCCACGCCGTTGGGTCCCTCAGCTTCGCAGAAGTCCGCGGCCGTGTATCCCATTTTTTTCAGTTGGCGACGCAATTCTTCTCTTGGATAGGGCAATCGTTGACCACAAATACGGCTTGTCTCAAGTGCTTCCAAACGGAAAACTTCACCTCTCTGATTTTCAAGAGTCACAAGAACTCTGCGAAAGGTTCGTTCTGTCGTGTGGTCGCCAAATGCTCCTACCGTCAGTCTTTCGTTTCCCAGGTGCTTGCATCTGAGCTTTCGTGAGAGTAGTTCTGTGACAAAACACCTCTGGCTTCCGCCGTCGAATAGCACTCTTACAAGGATGCGCTGTTTCAGCCCCAAGCTCCACACTGTCGCTGTTTGCAGGAGGACGGTTTTGTTGACCCCGTCTTTAATCGTAGATTGTAGGGCCACTGGACCAGCAGAAGTCAGTTTTTCCTCTTGTCTGCCTTTGTCGTCTCTTGAGCATGACAAGAACGTTGGGTCACACATGACTGATGCGTGTCGCCTTGGCAGTTGGAGCAAGAAATGTTTTTCCTGCATTGTTTGGCCAGGTGATTTTTCTTCGTGCACCTAAAGCATCTTCCCGAGCTCGTTAAAATCTTCCTCTTCTCGGGAAAACCTATCGTTGTTGTGCACAGCTCTGTCTCGTGGTCTGCTGACTTGCAGAAAACACAGCTCTGCTTGTCACTTTTCTGTAGAAGTGTCGCGGCCGTTCCTTTTGTCCATGGTTTTGAATTGTGCTTTGCTGCACGAGATGCTACTCCACTCTCTTTTCCTGCTTTACTTCTTACGCCTCCTGATTCTGGTTTTTTTGTGACTGTCGTTCTTTCTCTACTTTCAACTTCAATTCTCAGAAATTGCATAAGTGATAGTAGTTGCCTTAGCTGGGACTGTTCTACAACGTGTTGGTTTCCTTCACCAGCCGCGTTTACAGCCACATCTTCCGGGCGACGCTGTTCTTTCTTCCGAACGACATTTCTGTTGAAGGTTAGCACAAGATCTTCTGAAATCAGCCGAAGTACAAGGGGGCAAAGGAGAGTCGAATAAGAATCTTCGTTAACCCCTAGAGACTTGAGTCCTCTTATATGCGCTTGGAGGTCATCGTGTAGTCGTCGCAGTCCTCGGACGTCTTACGAGGTTCGAACTGGCTGCCGTTCTGCTAGTTTCATCATGTGGTCATCTACTAGCAGCGCCTCGTCGCCGTAACGGGACTTTATGATCTCCCGCGCATCTTCATAACAGCTGGCCGTTGGTGGAAATCCGGCAATCGCTGCAGCAGCCTCTCCCGACAACGCCGATCTGAGGTAGTGGAACTTCTCGGCTGATGACAGTTCTGGGTTACCATGGATGACCTGCTCGAAGTGCTCCCAGAAGGGCTGCCATTGTTGACGTTGTCCGTTGAATTTCAAGAGTTCAAGTTTTGGTAAATTGACCTTGACTGACAAAGTGGGACTGCGGTGGTTTGTTGGGATTTCTTGACCGCTTGTACTCGCTCTCTCGTGTAGGGTCCGCACCTTGAACGTCAGTCTTGCCGAGTAGGTGACGATACGATCGCTGTACTCGACGGTCCGAGCATACTCTTGTTCGATGTCACTTGCTGGCAACAATGGTTCGAGGGCAGAGTCCGTTTCGGTAAGCTGACCATGTAGCGCGTTGAGACGAGTCAGTAAGACGTTGAGCTCTTCCTCAATCGGCACTTCGGTTTGGGTAGCTGTATCGATTTCTGTCAGCAGCTTTGTTACCTGTGAACGCAGGGCTTTTCGCTTCTGTTTCAGCCTATCCATGGCAGCGTCGTTATGGTCCCTCGCGTTCTCGAGCTGGATGGTGTCTTGTCCTGTAGCCTCGTTACATCAACGCTTGTGACACCTTCTCATCTGGCCCATCGTACAGTCCAAAGGTCCCGGGTTTCGGCACCAAAATGTCAAAACCATTGAGCCGAAGCGTTGATGACTACAAGAAAAAACACTACTTTAATCACCGGTAGCCGCGTTACTCACACCAAAATGCCGAAACCATTGAGCCGAAGCGTTGATGACTACAAGAAAAAACACTACTTTAATCACCGGTAGCTGCGTTACTCACACTTCCCAGTTCCGAACGAAAATCCCCGATAGCAATTGTAGCTCGCGCTCGGGCCCAGTCCCCGAACCTCCTCGTCTTCTTTTCCGCTCCGCTGAAAGGTTTCTTCAGACGCCTATAGAAAAATGTATTGTTTTAATTCGAAAACATTGTGTCACGCAATTATTGCTGTAGGAATGCATATTTTATACAGAAATACTTCGACAAAATGCGAGACACGCCGTGATTGGACACAGCAATACAGACCACAGTTAAAAGTCAGGTAGACGTAGTCAACACTGACACGTCTAGACAAGTGTCACTTACGATCATTTAAGCGATGTTATCACGTGCAGTCAGTGAATTCTTGCATCATACCCCGACCACATGGCAAAATTAATGGCATTTTGATCGAATGACATTATGGAGCCGACAAATCAGCTTGCGACGCTCGTATTATCACTCAAGACCGCGAGCTGATTAAATCCCATATCATTTCATGAAAATATATGAGCTTTTCTGTGTGGCAGGGGTACTAAACTTCCTATTTATATGACTGGGCAATTAACCGATGAACCTACCGATTAATCAATTAATGCTTTATTCGCGATTAATTCTTTTAACCGGTTGATCGGTAAAATTTTTACAAACCTAAAGAAAGTAAAAATTAGGCGCTTTCTTCACGCAGACGTCGACGAGGACACCTGCCTACTTGTGTAGTAATTCGATTATAGTAATTGAATTACTGTAATTTAATTACTTTTCTTGGTTATTTGTAATTCTATTTAATTACTTCCGGCTAAAAGGAATTGTTATTGTAATTTAATTACTTTCTAATATCAGTAATTGCAAAATTTCAGGCACAATTGCAATTTCTTTTGCAAAACTTCGCGGCTTCCACGGAACCTCTTTGAAAGCCTCAGCGCCCGCACAAGCAGCCTAGCTCTCTGTAAAACACTCGCACACGGATACACAAACACACACGCACAACATAAATAACGTCGCATTGTTTCTTGTTTTGTTGCTTACACTGCGGGTTAAGAGACAATCCTCTTTGGAGCCTACCTGAACGGCGCCCTGTAGCGCCGTCTGCGGTGCTAGCTGAAAACAATAGCGTAAAAAAGCCACCATATTGAAAAAAAAAATTGAGCTTCAGCTTTCAACCGAAGTTGGGAATTTTAATTGCCTATGAAGTTTTTTTGTGTGTGTTTTTGGACAGTTTTTTACGTCCCTCTTCCAGTACTGTCCCACATTTGTATCTTTGTTGTTTTTGTTTGTTTTCAAGTTTATTTCCTGCTGGTTTTACTTCGGATATTCTTTGCATAAGCATTTCGGAGACTGACTTTGCACCTGTAAATATTGTCACCGATAATTGGGAAGCCCCGAATCGGTTCTTTTATATTTCTGACCCATTATAATTTTAACTCAATGTAAATAATTTACAATAACATGAAACGTTTGTATGTGAATGCGGTCGTATTAGCGCGAGTGGATTTTAGTTTTATATTAACACTTATAAAATATTCCTATATGACTAATTGTCGCATTTTTATTTGCCTGGTTAACAAAAGTCTGTCAACCCAATTTTTTTTCTTTAGCGATCTGGCCTCTTCCAGCATTTGAACTAATTTATTATTATTTATTAAAAATATAAGAACTTAGTACTTCATTGCCTCAAACTGTGAAGTTCTAGCTATCATGAATTTAAAAAAAAAATTCATAAAAGGAAAGTACAATACGTGGCATTTATGCAGCGATGCTTAAGCCTCCTCAAACATTGGGGCAAGAATGAACAAATAAATATGTTGCATTCTGTTCGACTCGTTTAAATTTATAAGGCACAAGTCGGGCCGCTCTCAGAAATAAGTAATTGTAAAGTAATCGCATTACTTTTTAAAAGTAACTTGTAATTGCAATTAATTACTTTTCACGCGGCAGTAATTGTAATTGTAGTTAAACTACTTTTGAAGCAAAGTAATTGTAATTTTAATTAAATTACATTTTAGAAGTAATTTACCCATGTATGAACACCTGTATGAAGGGCAAACTTTCAGCGACATTTTAACCTAAACAAATCTAGATGGTGACAAATGTGCAATATGTTGCCTTGTAGCAATAAATATTTTCTTGTCTTCATCTTTGTGTGTGATTTGTCTTCTGTGATTATTAAAACATCATATATTTACAATAAAAAAATTGCTCTTTTCGTTTGAAGGCTTTGATGAAGGATCGCTCTGTCCTCATTTGTAACTCACGAAGTAAGGTCCGCCCGCGGGTATGCGGCAAAGCTTAAACACTTTGCAGGTGAAGTCAAGGGCGTACCTTGCGCCTAAGGACGTTAAAGTAATATCTCGAAACAGAGTAAGGATTAAAAAGGGTTTCGCTAATAAATGGGATGGTTGAGAAACGCGCTAGCAAAGCAACCGAGCACGCGCTATTTTTCTGTTTTAACTGACGGGATACAGGTGAGTGTATTTGATGGGCAGTTATGTGCACGAGAAGCGTAAATAGCAGTCGTCGTATGTGCACAGTCGCAGGTTATAATCGACGTTTTTAATATGTGTACAAAGTAAACCACGCGGCTGGCCTGGCAAAACGATCGGTAATGCTAACAATTACCGAAAATTCTTAGTTTTTATGTGTTGTGGTGTCTTTTATTTGCCTAACTCGAGTGATGCCGAGTCTGGAAATGCACTTCTTCGTTCAAGATAATGAAAAGTTTCAGCAGAACGTACGCTATAGACTGCGAGCCTTGCGGGCGCGTGCCCAATCCATGCTCAAAGCGACGGCACGAGCTCCCGCTAGCAACGCAGTCCTTGTCTACGAAACTCTTTACGCTCAGGGATAGGTGCATTCTATCGTGTGCCTGCTCTCAGCTCTGCTGCGATAAACTGGTAAACAAAATATAATTTTGCAGTGCATGCCGGTGTCCCAAAATATTCAAAACTACTTTTTTTTTTTTTTTATTGTCTGCGTTTAGCGGAATTGGAAAAAGCTTGTCTTCACATTCGAGCGCCTCCAACTCTGCTTGCGTTCTTATACTGGCCGATCGAGACGTCTCCCTGTGCATTATAACTCCAATAAAGCTGCACAAACGCTAGTTTCATCACGTTAGAAAACAAAACTGCCTCCATATTTGAAAAAAAAAAAAAAAAGATTATCTAGTCCGCCATATGCCACAGCAAACAACTACGGCCCGGTACGCGCGCCTTGTGGGCCTCCCTCAGACATGGAAATACTATGGGCTTCACTCAAGGAGCCATGGTAGGAGTGGGTACAAACATGTAAACAAGATGCATATTTATAAATGGAAACTCAATTAAGTATAAGTTCAACAGCAGATATAAAATTAGCAACAGTTGTGTTGACGACGACATCATTTAGTAGCTCGTTCCATTCTTGAATTGTTCGAGGGAAAAAAAGAACAGACCCCTTTCAAGAGCGTGACAACTCTGTGCGCCTCAGGCAGCAGTGTGCGCGCTCTCCATGGTGGAAGAATGTTTTTTTTTTCGGCCCGCTGGGGGGCTCTGCGTGAAAAAGTGCATGGCAAATGCTCTGTTTCCCGCCGCCGGCTCGGAAAATAACCTTGCTAGCTAGCTTGCTAGGTATGGAACCTGAAAACAAAGATGATGAGATGATGACAAATCATGATGTGTCTGCAAGTCTCCACTAAACTTGCATAAAAAGATGCCCTCAAGGGGAACCAAATGCGGTTCTGTCCTAATTCTGCATGGAAGCATAAAGTAACATGGTGTTAGTGGATGCCTCAGTAACATAAAAAAATTAAAAAAACGTAAACTTTTTTTTTGTTTTTTTGTTTTTTACGCGTTTATTGTTAAAGTGTAGAAAATGTTCGCAGGACTGATACGGTAATTCGACCGCTCGTTTAGCCTCGCCAATGGTATCTGTCTACCAATTAACACCAAATAAAAGTGCGATGAGAGAGAGAAAGAGGGTCGGAAAAAGAAGAACAGAGAGTTTAACCTAGGTTAAAGTCCTGTTTGGCTACTCTGTTTTAGGGAGGGGGTAGTGGGGAGTTAAAAGAGGAAGGAAAGGATAAGAGGACATAAAACAATAAACACGTAAAAAAAAGGAAATAGTGACACGAGAGCAGAAACTATAAATCACATTACAAATAAAGTACGTGTGTCCTTTAGAGGCAGAAGTTCAGCCGCGTTTCCTTTAGGAAACGCAGAAAAGCTTTTTTGGCCCTCGCTGCATTCTGAAGGCTGTCCTAGGTGCCGAGTACTTTCATGACAGAAAACGGTCGGCTGTCTAGTTGCAACAACGTACTCTTGAGGTCTTCTTTTTCCGCGTCGTAGATTTGGCAGTCGCACAATAGGTGAGCAATTGTTTCATCACATTCACACGTTGGACACTCCGATGTTCTGGCTTGCCCGATGCGGTGAAGGAAGGACTGTGTATAAGCGACACCGAGCCGGAGGCGATGTATGACTGCCTCTGTACTCCGGGGAAGATCACGTGGAAGTTGAAAGGTAGGATTTGGGTCCAATGCGTAGAGGGGAGCATAATGGTAGGAGACATCGTGCCATAGCTTTCTCCTTGCGCTGGCGCCGTGACGATTGATGAGGCATCTAATGTCATTCCGACAATACGGAACTGTTATAGTTGCATCTAGAGAATGGGCTGACTTCGCACCTGCGTCTGCAGCCTCGTTTCCAGGTAAACGACAATGACCTGGTATCCATTGAAACTGGATAGTGTG